AGTCAATAGACAGCACATCCCTGGCAAGATGTGAGGAAGGGGGAAATGGCTTCAAGGGCATCTGTGCTTTTGATGCTTGTCTAGAAAATCAGTAGAGGTCCCCAAAGCAGAACATAGGCAGTGCTCAGAGAGGAATAAAGATCCACTGCTTTAGGATCCGCATTTCCTAAGTGTATGACAGTTTTCATATCCAAGATGATTATTACTCATGAGGAATGAAGGGGGATTGGAAAATAATACTGAGGTCCCTTGGGAAGAGGGACAAAATGGAAGTAAGACTTTGAGTAGAGCATTGGATACACATGAGGAAACACAGAAGAATAGGAGGAGGAGGAGGATGACAAGGAAGGCACGGGCTGGGATATAGCTCACTTGCTCAGTGCTTGTCTAGGGTGCGTGAAGCCCTGGGTTTGAAACCTAGAAATGCATAAGGGATGTGGTAAGAAACACGTCTAACCAAAGTTCACTTTGGATATACAGTGAGTTTGAGGCCAGCCTAGGATAACAGGGTTGTAGCAGCAGGCCACTTGTTCATGCCGGCTGCCCAGAGCCAAAATAGTCACAGAGAAACTGCATTAATTAAATCACTGCTTGACCCATTAGCTCTAGCTTCTTATTGGCCAACTCTTACATATTAATTAAATCCATTTCTATTAATCTGTATATCACCATGAGGTCGTGGCCTAGCAGGAAAGTTTCAGCACGTCTATCTCTGGTGGTGGCTCCATGGTGTCTCTAACTCTGCCTTCCTCCTCCCATGCTATAGGCCAAGCCAGTTCTTTATTCATTAACCAATAAAAGCAACACATAGACAGAAGGACCTCCTACACCACAGGGCATCCTGTTTTAATTGATTCAGATGATGAAGGCACAAGAGAGATTTATATCTCACATAGAGATCAAAGAAGCACAGAATTTAATGTAGTTGGAATGAGGGAGACAAATTAGGTTACATTTTTAAAGAAGAAAAAGGTATTTAAAATTTCTTAATAGCTAAGAGGAAATGAGACAGTAGAACTGGATAAAAACATTATTTGCCTTTTATCCAAATTAAACCAACATATCTTTGATCTACAGTCTCTCTCTCTCTCTCTCTCTCTCTCTCTCTCTCTCTCTCTCACACACACACACACACACACACACACACACACACACACACACACCTGTGTATCCCTACTGCAGATCTGATGAGATTTGCCTGCTTTTGAGAGGAGAGTATCCTGCCTTGATGCTGCTTCCAGCATCCAGGTACTCCCCAGGCTGTCTACAGAAAAGCAGAAGGAGGTATACCATGGCTCAAGGATAATGTTAAAGTTCAAATGGCAGGCTGCCCTTTTGGAGTTCCGGTTGATCTGAGCATGCTGTCTGAGGAAGCATGCCTATGAAACCATGTGAAAAGACTGTGCAAAAATGAAATCAGTGATATTTATTAATCTTAGATATCCCTTTTGATACCTTTACCTGTATGGTGGATAAGTAAGAGCAATAATGAAATGCTTTCTAGTGACTGCCCAGCTCACTCTTTTAAAAGGATACTCACATCCCCATATTTTTAACATCTAAGAGGGTAACACTTGGGAACCTGCTCGCTTAACAGATGCTTCAGGAAACAGCACTACCATGAGTAAGAAGAACAATAAATACCAGAGATGGGCCATTCCCAAGGAGATGCACTATAGGCTGTCAGTGTGAATTCAAGAACTGCTGATAAGCATTTCCATATAGAGAAGCTGACCTGCTAAATTGTTTGCTTCTACCTCCCAACCAAAGTTTCCCCTCCTTCCCCTCCTCCCAATTCCCTTCTACCACCCCTGCCCCCATCCACTCCTCCTCCACTGTTTCTCTTCAGGTAGGAACAGGCCTCCGTGAATATCAGTCAGCCAAGGTGTATCAAGTTTCAGTGAGACTAGGCTCCTTCTTTTCTTTAAAGGCTGGATGAGACAATCCAGTAGAAGGGATGGGTTTTAGAAGCAGGTATCAGAGCCCACGTTAGTGGGTTCTGTGTCCTACAATCCTTCTCTCCCCTCTTCTGCAGTATCTCCTGAGATCCCCCTAAAGTTGGGGATCTCTGCTGTGGGTCTCTGCATCTGTTTCTATCAGTTACTGGATGAAGCCTCTCAGGTGACAGGTTAGATTTCCACTGGATGGATTGGGATTAAACCTACAATTTGTCCTGTTTACAAGGTGTGCTGGGTACCAACAAGCAATGGGCTCAGCCGAACCCATTACCCTGAGAGGAAGTTCACCGCTGAGAGCCAAACCCCAGAGTGGGATATCCCAGAGGCCTAGGGTAGAACCAAATACGACTGGGGAAAAACAGTCAATGCAACGATTCCTGATGATATTCTTCTATTCTCATGCGTTGACTTGCTCATTTTAACAGGCAATTACAAAAGAGGAGACCATAAATTTGAGAGGAAGCTGTGGCAGGGGAGGGGCGGTTATGGGAGAAATTGAAATTGGGGGGAGAAAAATTGAAAATAATATAAACATAGTATAGCCATGTATGAAATTCTTAAGAAAAATGGTTCATGAATCATGAAAACAAAGATTTTTTTCACTAGCCTAGATGGGGAGGGGCTCATTCTGTTCCACCCATTGCTGAGTAGCTATTGGAAGATGATGACCACAGGCGAGAGAGAATAATTTTTCTTGGGTATGTGACCACTGGTTGAACATGGTTGGTTGCCATGCTTCAATAGATAACATCACATACATTTTCTATGCAATATGGGCATAGATATAATATATATATAATTAGATATAAAAATAAATTAAAAAAGATAACATCAAGTTGAGGGAGGGGGTTGAGGTGACTAAAGGAAACTGGAGGAAGGGATATAGGAAGTTGGTGTGACCAAAATACATTGTACACAAGGAAAAATTCTCAAACAGTAAATACAAATATTATTTTTAAAAGACATCCCTGTTCTGGCAGCATCTTCTATGGCTAAGATGGCAGGCAGAAGTAAATCTTCACCAGTGTTCAAATATATTGTGTTCTTTTTTATGTGCACATATCTAATTTTGAAGAACTAGTGGTTGAAATGGTTTTCAATATATTTATATAAATTTATTGAAGAAGAAAGTTGACGGGGGGCAGTGAGATGGCCCAGTGTAGGAGCGTGCTACTACCTGCGAAGACTCATGTCTAATCTCTGGAACCCACATGGTGGAAGAGAGAACTGATTTCTGAAAGTTGTCCTCTGCTCTTGGGACACGTGCTGTGGCATGTGCACCCCCCAAAATAAGTTAATGTAAGAATTTTAAAGGAAAGTATGATTGCTAATTTGGTCTTAAGTATCAGAGTCGAATAAAGACCCTTCAAGGACTAAGACAAAATGCCAGTGAGAACTGTGACTCATTAGTTTGATGTCATGGTGTTCTAGGGATGGCCACCTCAGGGGGAGTCCTTGTCTGTTGAGCCCCTACTTTACACAAGGATTTCAGGTGGACACCTGTGAAGAGTGTTCACTTTAAAGGGAAATAGTCAAACAACTGTGTGTCCTGGGGTTTGAGGGGGAAGTTGGCCCAGTAACAGGAGTTACTCTGCTGACATGTGTTTCTCAGTGGACCCAGGGGCCCACACATTTAGCCTCAAGGGGCAGTTGCTGGGTACAGAGCCATGAGAGACTGGTGGCCAGTTCTGGGCCTGCTGGAAGCTGTGACCTGCTTGTGATCCTCTGAGGAAAAGCTCTGCCTGCACTTGACCTCTACCACACTGGTCTGTGCCAATTGCTAGTCGAGCCAAGGAAGCCAGACAGGCCTGGCTCCAGAGACACACAAACACAAACACACTGATGTGTTTGTGAACTAGTCTTGTCTGTGAACTAAACTAACACAACTATTTTTGTTATTATTCAGCCTATTCAAAATATTAAAGTTGGACTTCTGGGTTTACTAAATGAAAATAAATGATCTAGTACGAGACAAGCATGGAACCCCATTGCTGTCTCAGCTTACTTCCCCTCTTTCCTTTCTCTCTCATTTTGTGGGAAAAACAAAAGAACTGACTCTTGCTACTTCAATGTTGCAATACGTCTTTCTTTTATAAATACCTTGGAAGATACCAAATGAGGACACTGTACTCCATCGTCTGACAGGCGCCACAATCAGTTGTTTCTAGAGACAATGAACACGTCCCCCAATGCCTTTCAACCATTCTTTTTCTGGATAATTCAAAACTCAAATTCCTGCTAGCGTTATCAGCATAGAAAGGAAAAGATCAAGTACGTTAATTAGAATGCCAAAAGGCTTGTCTATTCACATTGGAAAACCAAGGTGTTATTATGATTTACCATTTAGAAAGTGATTTATTCTCTGGGAATCAACCTTATTGTTGGAGTTCAGCAACCACGGGTTCCCAGTCTCTCCCCATGCCTAACATTGTCACCCACAGTAAGTCTTTGTCAGGATCACAGTTCCCATTTGGTTTATGAGGTCTTCTGTTTGGTTTGCAAAACCAATTCATTTGGTATTAGAGTTTGTGCAGCCAGTCCCTATAAAGTTCCTTTATAGGCAAATATCCTCCCCTGTGGGTAATTTCACACATGAGTGCAGGAATAGAGAGCTAAAAATGGATTTCTGCCATTATCTTTTATATGACGAACAGACATTTCCACTTGGCTTGAGGAGTTGATAGAAAGCCTTGTTCATGAAGATTTCCATTTGCTAGAGTCCAGTAAAAAATACTGTAGTAGTCAAGGGGTTTACTCTGTGAGAACGTGTCATTACAGGCTCAGTTTCAACCAAGGGGGCTCAATGGATCATTTGCATCACTTTCCCATGAGCCCTTCTTATTATCACGATATAGTCAAAATGGGATCACATATATGTGAGAGAATGCACGGACCAGGGGCCGTCACACCACTGGAGTTCTTGCATCATAACACATCTTTTCCCCTCAGTCCAACAAAAGATATACCAAGGGTTGGGATAATTTAGGAGGGGACTAAATGTGAAAACTGATAAAGGCTATTTTGTTCATATGTATGCTGCAGGTCATGCATCCCAAAGATCAACTGTCCCATTTCAGTGGAATCAAGGGATGGACACAGAAGGACCACTACTCACTATTGGACCAGGTGATACACAGACATAAGATTTAGTTCCAGGAGAAGCACTCTAAATGTTCCTCAGCTGAAGAATGGATAAGGACAATGTGGTACATTTACACAGTGGAGAACTACAAGGAATAATAATAAAAAAAGACATCTTGAAATTTGCAGGCAAATGGATGAATCTAGAAAGCATCATATTGAGTGAGGTAACCCAGACCCAGAAAGACTACCATATGTAATCACTCTTAATTGGCTTTTAGACATAAAGCAAGAACAAACCAGTCTACAATTCACAGTCCCAGAGAATTGAGACAACAATAAGTACCCTAAGAGAGACATACATAGATCTAATCTTCATGGGATGTAGACAGAGACAAGATCTCCTGAGTAAATTAGGAGCATGGGGACCATGGGAGAGGGTGGAAAAGGAGGGGAGAGGAAGGGAGGGGAGCAGAGAAAACATATAGATCAGTTAAATCAATTAAAAAAAGATTTAGTTCTAGGAGAAGCAAGTTCTGCCCAGGAAGTAGAACAATGATTACATTGAACTAGAAACTGAGATTGTCACATGGCCACTTTGGACTCCTCCTGCTTTTGTGTCAACAGGAAAAGAAGGAAGTTGTCTGGCTCGGAGGAGATTAATCCTGATTGCTGAGAGGAACCTGGACAGGGAGGTAAGGAGGGGTTCTGGGATTCAGATCACTGCGGATGCCTCTTTAATCCTGTGATTAAAGACAATGAAAAAACTACAGAAATCCTATCGAGGCCAGTGACTCAGAACCTTCTGGAATGATAGTTTGAGTCATGCAGAGGCTAAAGATGATGACCTACAAAGGAACAACGCAGGCACAGAAGCTGGAGAGGAACAGATTCTCAAGCAGAAACGTAGGACAGTGCATAGCTCCCTTAAACCTGAGCTTTGGTCAGTGAAATTCAATTTAGACTCCTGGCATCCAAACTGTGAGAGAATACATTTCTGTGGCTTCATACCACCATATTTGTGGTGCTCTAGTCCAGTGACTGTATGAAATGAGGAGGGTTGGTAATTAGTCACTCACTCAATTACTGAGTGTTAACTATTACCCTGAATGCTTCCTCCTTACCCATCTGTTCAAAAACACTGCTGAACACAATAAACACAATGCTTGGATATGGTGATGAGCAGAGTGGCTCACCGGAGTATTTATATTTTACTCCAAATGCAATGAGAAAGAAGGATCACCAGGTGCTTAGCAGAAAAGCATCATCTAATTGGTGATTGAAAGGGATCACTCTGGCTGTTGGTGGAAGATGAACTACAGGAAGGTTGAACTGGGAGGAGGGTATATGGTCTAGATGAGGGGTGTGTTTGGGACTCACGGTGGTAGGAGAAGAAGAAAATCCATCTTAGAGGAAGGCAGATGAAATGTGGGAGATGAAAATGAGACAAGTTAATACTGAATCTCAGCAAAGAAGACTATTTATAGGAAATATGATTCTGTGTCTTTGAGAATGTGCATGCACATGTGTGCACACACGCACGCGCGTACACACACACACACACACACACGTGCCTACAGTCACACTGTAGGCCACTGGGAGCCAGAGGAAAACTTTAGGTGACATTATTTAGGAGCTTTTCCCATTTATCTATCTATCTATCTATCTATCTATCTATCTATCTATCTATCTATCTATCTATCTATCAACTATCTATCTATCTATCATCTATCTATCATCTATCTATCTATCTATCTATCTATCTATCTATCTATCTATCTATCTATCTATCTATCTACCTATCTATTTGGGACAGGGTCTTTCACTCATCAAGTAGGCTAGGCTGGCAGGCCAATGAGTTCTGTCTCTCCCTGTCTCTGCCTCCCAGTGCTAAGATTACAAGGGTATGTCAGCACTTCTGGCCTCTGTGACATAGGTTCTTTGGATTAAACTCAGATCTTCATGCTTAAAAAGTAAGAACATTACTGATGAAGCTACCTATGTAGACCAAGTATGATTCTTTAGACCATTTTGCACAGTGTATTTCTCTCTCTCTCTCTCTCTCTCTCTCTCTCTCTCTCTCTCTCTCTCTTTCTCTCTCTCTCTCTCACACACACACACATATCTCCTCCTATATGTTATCTCTTTAATCATTGAGAATTTATATTTGTCTTCTATATTGCTATATATTGCTAATCTAAGCTATGTGTTATTCAGGGTATAATTCCTACCAATAATTTCCCCATAAGGTTCTTTCATTATTGAATTCATCTCTTTCCAGTAGACTGAAAATGTCCTAGGAAAATGACATTCAGAAGAGTACAACAAAGGTTTCAAGGTTAGGCATGCAAACCTTATCAAACAAAACTGCAATCAACTTTTTCTAAAATACTTTTTGCATACATCTCATTTAGTTGGGGAAGGAAAGTCCTTCAGAGAAGCACAGTTTACCATAACCATCCTGATGCTGAGGGAATGGGGTGCACTGCAAGGTTTAGCAAAGACATATAACTTGGTGCCTGTGGACCTCGACCCTTGGCTGAAGTCTGTTCTTACACATCTTTTCGACATTAGCTGCTTAGTGGACTGTACTACAAAGTCATTTTTCTTTATTCTCCATGCTTAAGTTTGTAGGCACATACACGCTGCTGTTGAAGCACAGGAGGACTCAGCTTTCATTTAACATCTGTATGAATTATTGATGAGCACGAAAGCCATTCTTTCTCAACTTAAAGAAATGAGCGATGAATTAGGGCAATGATGATGGCTGAAGGAACAGAGCTCTTGACAAAGTAGCTTCCTCTAGTTATACTGCGATTCTTTATTCCTCCTCTTTCCTGTGTTTGGTAATAGCAAGAAGGATAGAAGAATAAAGTAATTTATGAGTAGAGAAAATTTGATCTGGGGTTGTTAAGGAACAAATTATAATATGGTCTTAATAGAAATTTTATTTCTAAATAGCAGTTTGTTTCCTGATATATAGATGCTACCTACTAAACAATCCTCAATATCTATTTTAAAATTTAGAATATAGATATGTGCATGGTCTGGGCATCAGTTCTGGGTGCAGAAGTTTGGATTATTTCAATGGAATCTTATATGTCATATCTACTGAATTACATAGCACTGTATAATTTTTGAAATCTCTGGAGTACTGCCATAATGTGAAACACCAAATATTACATTTAAAATTCAACTTTGGAACAATTATAAAAATAGAATTAGTTAATATTTTAGACGAAATTTCAAGTGGAATTTTGTTTTCTTCTACTACTAGTATTAGATTTTTTTCTCCAACAGTCTGTAAGTATCTTCTAAGTTTAACATCCATGAACCAATATATACATAACCATCTGTCTGATCCCCCTACCTCTCTCTTTCATTTTTGAAGAGATGGGAATGACAAAGTATCATAAGAGACATGTAATGTAGAAAGGACATTTATTGTCAAATTAACCAGTGTGAATAATGTTCTCCTTTTCTGGACAAGCTAGTGTGTGCATATGATTATTGCCTGATATTGCAGCTCCTGGGTTGCACCAGAAGTATGACACCAGCTTGGAATGTTCTCCCAGTCTCTCCTTTTTCTGCTTTCACCAACAGTTCATTATTTAGTGTAAGATATGACTTTAATGTTTTTTCCTTCCCATCTTAGTTCGGGGTGGCTGGCTCACATTGGTTCTCCTTCAATCCTTTACATAAAATAAAACGCATAATTGACTGAGCTGGAGTCATCCTAGTTCATCCTTAGATGCCACCAAGAGCTCCAATACAGGCCAGACACTCTGTGTATTTGAAAATGGAGTGAAAATAATTCCAATTAGCTTAGAAAAGAGGTCTTCACATAAAAATGTAACATTTTATGCATTTTTCTTTCTTTCTTTTTCCTTTTTTTACTTTTCAGAGATGTTATTAGGAACACATTTTTCAAGGGAACTACTTGGGTCCTGATGCTAAAGGCATGTACCATTTCATTTACTCCCCAAACTATCCTATAAAATGAGTACTATCAACAGCCCATTTTTCCAATGTGTAAGTGAACACTAAGAGAAATGACATCTGCTCAACGCTGTTATAACAGCACCAAATCATAAAGTTTTCTCTTTGCTTCTGCATTTTGAAACAGAATTACCCCCATGTAACCGCACTGCTCTCAACCCCTGCACTCTCCTCTTCCTCCTGCTTCCCAAATACTGGGCTTGCAAACACCTGTCACCATAGAGACTCTTACCCAGAGGTCTTTGCTCTAATGCAGAGAAGTCTGTGATCTGGATGGGAAACTTTGACCTTCACTGACTAAACTGACATTTAGCATTTACGAAAACATTAATGAAAGTCATGTGTTACATCATCCTCAACAGTATTTGAGATGTTTTACCAGTATAATGGTGATATGTTCATATCACAGATCTCCTCAAATATCGCTTCTTCTCATCACTGCTTTGAAATTACAACCATTACTGGGTCTCTTCTAGATCTTGTGGTTAATATATTACTACACTATCACATTTCAAAATATTTTGGCTATCTTCAAACCAATGTGTGTGTATATATATGTTTACATACATATGTGTATGTATGTGTATAGAGAGATTCGGCCTATAAACAAACAGATAAATAAAAGCAGTATTTTGATAGCTTTAATAAGTTGGTTTTGTAGACGTATTGATCTTATTTATGAATCTTCAAAACATTGTGAAGAACAGCCTTTGGGCATCATTAGAATGCCAGATGGATCCACTGTGGAAAATAGGAGCTTCCTGGTAGGTCGTGGAGCTGGAACTTACTACTAGGCTCAGGCTTGTGTTTGCCATTCTGGCTGAGCTTACACTCTGTTCATGTTTTGGTGGACAGCCTTGCAGATGTATGCAAATGGACATAGATATATGCTTGCTTGCACATCTACATGGGAAAGGCTGTGTATAAGTATTCCGACAAAGTTGCTTCTGAGTAAAGAGTTCAGAAGGAAGCAGGACCATATAATTCATCCATGCTTCAGTGAAAAGTCAATCAAAAAAAAAAATTGAAAGCAACTGAACAAGGACAGTAATATAACTGAATACCATATACCTGGACAAGCAGTAGTCAATGGAAATCTAGAAGATTCCAGCATGAGACATCACTGTTGCAAACCTAGGACTCACTATGGAAAGTACCCAGGGAAGGAGGTGCTGGCTCACTTTGGTACTTGCAGGTCTCTCCAACGTGGAGGGACTTGATGGAGTAGCAATTATGCAAACTCAGGGGACGTGAAGAAGCATCCTCAGGAAGGGAAACACTTCAGCACCTTTCTCTGTTTCTTGGGACAGCATGTGGTCTCAGAGGCTTCCATTTGCTGGGCTCTGTGGGAAATTGGGATGGCAGCTCAAGAGACAAAGGGGTTATCCTCTAAAAATGGGGCAGGCCATATTTCATAGCTTTGTTTTAGACTTTCTGTTGGAGCCAGTCTTTGTTATCTTAGTATAAAAGATACTATGGTTTCTGTGAACTTGGCTCACTAATATTATAGGCCATGGGGGATAAATCTTTCCAGGTTTGCTGTGAAAGCCACGCATCTCAGTAAAAGGGATAGGGCCAGACATGCACTGTGATGATGAACCCACCCCCTGCATCTTCTAGGAGACAACTAGGGCTGTTTATTCTCTGCTGTACCTAATGCAAACACAAGACTGACTCTTTTGAGTCAATCTATAGT